GGCTTGAAAGAATCTCAGCTTGAGATTGTCTGGTAGATCAGATTTTCACATTATATCCATTTTATTTAAGATGGCCCAGGCTTTAGTTATGCAAATTTTCACATCCTTTTTTCAGTTGAATTTATCTTGTTTCTTAAGTATGTAAAAGTTTTGACAGATTTTATTGATTCACCTGAAACAGTTTGTATTGAGCCTTGCTTGTTGAAGCCTATGAATGAGTTAGAGGCATTGACATAGAGTACAACATCATCGGGAGCATTTTCTAGATGATGTAGGAGAACTGTAGCATTGGTAATGGCATCTACACTGATACCTGAGTCATCTGCATAGTCAACATCTGTCAACATTTTTGAAGGATATCGACTTGAGAGTCTTGGTGAGAAAGTTAAACTTAGCTGATGATGTTTGTCGAGAGAAGTTCTCAATACGTAGTCAAGGGTGATATCAAAGAGAAAAGGTGCAAGGGTATCACCCTGGAGGACTCATGCTTTGAAGACGAACCATCAATAAATATACGCCAAACATACTATATTATATCACCAAATTTTATAAAATCCATACGTAAAAAATTTAAGATCAGTTTACCCACAACCACAACCGGTGTAGCCTAAATTCTTTCACTCCCATACAAGACATCCTCTAATCAATATATGGACATTACCATACATAAATCAAATGCCCACTTGACACACACACGTGTTATCAACCAAATCCTGCAAAATCGAACTAGAATTATAATACACAAACACACAAAAATTGTACACACGAACGCTTCCATATTTCAGTTCTGATGAATTTTAAACAAAAGCGGAACATGTTAAATTTATAAGCGTTTCCTATTTGTTCATTATCCTATCATTCTGTTCGGATTCTCTTTTTTACAATGATATTCACTCTGTACAAGACCCGAGAGCAACTTGAGGTAGAGGGTTACATAATAAGAGGCACAGATTATGCGGATATGTGTGGGAGATAACGGCTAACCCTAGACTTGGACAGGTTAGGATTGTAGTGATCAGGGAAGCAACCTCTTGGGAGTAGTTCTTGGGAAGAAGTTACTTGAGTGGAACTTTCTGACTAAGGGAATATGAAGGGTATGAGGGTGGTTCGCTACAATGTGTATGGCATAGTGGGTCTTAGCCGTGCAGTTTAGGACTGGTGGAACCAAGGAGTGTAGTTCCTGTGAACACTCTTCATGGAAATAGCGATAAAGCATCGACAGGCTTGCGACGTCTCGTCTATGAGAAACGGGTGGTAGGGTGGAAAATGATTCGTCACCCACAAGGACGCGGTGACACTTTTGAATATCAATAGTGGAAAGTGAAGAATGGGCAAATCCTGTCCATATATGGCCGCAGTACTCCCTTTTCGGCCTGATATGGCTCTTGTACATGTAGTGAATAGCAGGAGGATTTAGGTACTTGCTGGAACGGTACAAGCAGTCGACTATTTTTCTAGCATCTTTAGCGTTGGATCGTATTTACGAGTTCCGCTTGAGATCTGGGCTGAGTTTTGGTCCCGACAGGCGCTCAATAAGACGAGTGGTTCGATCGGCAGTGGTGGAAATGTCACTAATCTGGTTTTTTAAGCATTTATTATGGCTAGCCAGTCCCACCCCCATAGCCAAACTGAGCTGTTAGGGCTTGGTCAGAGGAGAGGTCGGATGCTAATCTCTGGTCATCGAGAGGTTTAGAGGTGTACCCATATACTGTATTGTATCATCAACATAGATATTCATATTCAAATGATCGGAGCATACTCTTAGGCAGATCTTTTATGTAGAGTAGGAAGACGGTTGAACATAGAAATGAACATTGGGGGACACCTGCGTTTATCGTTTGATACTCAGAGGATTGGCCGTTAACAACTACCTTCAGGGACATAAGAAGGGTTTTATAATTAAGACCCTTTCAGTGATTACATTGCTAGAGGGCTTGAGCAGTAACTCACCTTGTCAAAGGCCTTTGAAATGCCTAATGCGATCGTCCTTGAGGCATTTTTGTCAAGTGCCTCAGTAATACTGTGAGTAATCGCAGTTACGATATCAGCAGTGGACTGGGCAGATCGAAATCTGTACTGTTTGCCGCTTAAAAAGCTGTTCCTATTGAGGTGATCAACAACCTTCTTGTTGATTATAGCTTCAAAGAGTTTGCTGATGACACTGAGGAGGCTCATATTGTGGTGAGATGAGCGCTCAACGGCATTCTTGAAACCTGTACATACACTTGACACCTTCCACAGACTTAGGGAGTAAGTTTCCTTTAAGTAGCGGTTAAATAATTTCGTTAAAATCGGGGATAACCCGGTGGTAATATTCTTAGCCACTGAAATTTTGTCTGGACCGGTGGCCTTCTTAAGGTCAAGACTTTTGATAAGTTTTGAGACGAGCGGTACTGAACATATTACTGAGCTTGTGTTCAGTGAGACAGGGGAAGTAGGGAAGCGGGTGGCCTTTGTCATCTAACGTTGAAATCAAGGCAAAGATCGAAACGAAGTGCTTCTGCCGAGGATGAGATGATCCCGGGACCATTTCTAATAGTAGGCACTGATGCTACGCCTCTATTCAGAATTTGGTAAGAGATCGTTCGGAACTCCTGGGATCGAATTTGTTTGATTTCAACCTTAGCCTGGACTGCTCGAGAATAACTGCACTGCATTTTCTAGAAGTCTCTTAAGGCTTTTGCGGACAGTTCTGAATGTAGCAAGTGCCCGCCTACGCCGATCCCTGTGATAGGTATTGTAGTAGTTGTTACGATTAGCTATGGCAGCAGTACATTCGGGGGTGAACTAGGGCTGGCTATTTGGTTTCTACTTTAATCCATATTTGATCCCAATAAAAATACATCTAAAAATACAGACAAACCTCTCATCTACGGACATCCCCCCATCAACGGACTTCGGATGCAATGGACAAAATCTGCAAGCAAATTAAAAAAAATCTGGAGGAAAAAAAAAAAACTCCCAAATCGTCAGCGATGGATTTCAAAATTTGCGGGCTTTGAGAACTAATACGACTCGTTTCGCTAAGTCACCGCTTGGCGTCAGTGGCGAACCTTTCAGTTGTAAACAAAGACGGAAAGTACGATACATTAGTGCGTGCGTGAGAAAGTAACTGTGAGAAATCTATTATTTTTGTTATTTTGATTAATGTATTAATTGTTCTATCCTCATCATAGCATCGAAGCAGAAGAAAAGTGTAAAAAGGAAGCGTACAAACCTAAGTATCAGCGACAAATTAGAGCTTTTTCTATCTCCGGATAATCGACTTTACCGGACTACCCGTCTCCCTATTAGTCCGTTCATGAGAGGTTAGTCTGTGATATAAAATAACCGCCAAATATAAAACCGTATTGTTGCTGTTAATACTGTTAAACAATAGCAAACAAATAGTAAATAGTTGATTTTGTTTAGCTGCATCTCAACACCTCTATGGTTTATTTAAAGCCGAAATCTAAATATTTTGAACACAATTTTATGGCTTCAACTACTGATAAAATATATTGTTGGTCATTTTGTTATAAAATGTAGTTAGTAATTCTGATTTACAAATGTATTGTTGTTAATTTTACTACAAGTATATATTGTTGGTAATTATTTATATACAATTTTATTGCTTGTATTTTTATAATAAATATATATTTTCATACTTTCCTAGCGTTTTGTTCGGGGGGTTCACTGTCCGCCCATAGCTGAAACCCTAACCGGTGCTGCCACCTCGGGTCAGGGTAGACCTGGGAACAACAGTAATTAAGAGGTGCTTCCACGTTCCTCAAAACCTTCAATCTTCCGATCATAGGCCTTGCTGCCAGATTTAGTCTGTTGTTATACCCAGGATAATCAGTAAAAAAAACACACACACTAAACGAAATAAACGTTAAGATTCAAAATGTCTCTTAAAAATTCGAAGATAAAAATATAGACACATACATATTTCTATCTTACTTATGCAGATTAACCAACGACAACACATAGTATAAGAGGTCTCAAAACCCAAAGTGCCACAAAACAAAATTGTTCTTACAATTTAGTTTTTGTAAAAAATATAGTAGTGACCTCAGATTATCTTTATTAAGTAAAAAGAAATCTTTATATATGGCTGGTCTCTGTTGTTGGTACAGATATTTTCCTAAATATTTATAATAATCTTCTAAATAGATAAACGGAGAATCCTGTCTGTCCATGTGTCTGAAACCCGTCTAACTTGGATCACACTTGATCCACATACCATTATTATACATTTTTGAGATCAGGATGATCCTGGGATTAAAAATCTGGCCTTCATCTGCTGCTTGAAAATTCAGCATAAGGATTTGTGTCCGGATGAGGAGGAAACAGTTAAAAATTCAAATTTTAAAATAACCGAGAAAAAAATTAGTGATTTTAAAAGTTTTTAATTTATATTGAGTTTAAAGTAACACAAAAACTTAGTGAATTTTTTTGTTTTAAATTCAGTTTGAAATATCTCCAGAACTTTGTGAATTGAGGAAATCAGTTTTATTTTATTTTATTTATTTTTTTTTTTTCAAAATGTCAAGCAACCAGACTTAAAGCGAGAGGCTTTGTGACGTGAATTCTGCAGAGTTTGTGATTTGAAGAACTCAACTCAATTGAAGTTCCGCGGATTTGAAGAACTCAATTTTTGGTCTGAATTGAAATTTCGGCCCAAATCGATCTTTTGGTCGGGACTGGACTGACAGCTCGAATCAGAGTTGAAGTTCCAGGAAGTGATTTGAGGAATTCAAAGTTATTTCTTCCAAATTATCATTACTGTTTTCTAAGCTAGACCAGAAGTCCCTCTAGTTTTGAGCCGGGCCCCAATTAGCCCTCCACAGTAGTAGCTTAAAAGCCCGCACAGCTTTTAAGCTAGTAAATAAATTACACAGCACTTATTTCAATTAACCGCGTTACTTAGAACGGTTACTTCGCTACTTATATGAACATACACCCGAGCCTGGTGTTACTTTGCTGGCTTTGTCACTGTGGGCGATGGTTCTATTCACAGTTGACCATATCGCTTAGTGGATTGTGCTGTGATTCCTGGCGAGAAGAAAAAAAGAGTGTTCATTTTCTTCCGTTCACGCCCCGCCGGGGTGTTCTTTTTGCCGGGAATGATACCTTCGTGGACGTCTGAACGAGCGGAATTATCTACAAAAATAAAGAGTTATTAAAACAAACAACGGTGGAACTAAGTTATTTCTATACAGGCGGTAGGTATTAGAAGCTGAAGAAAAAAGGGTGTTGGCACTTGCCTTTCTTCAATTCAGTCGTCTGCTGCTAGGAAATTTGTGGAAGTGAAATTACTTTTCAGGTGTGCTTGATGCGACAATCTAATTTGACACAGCGAGCAACCGGAAGTGGCTCGAACTTAACTAATTCACTGTACATTCTAACATTAGATGCTAAGATGCCGTAGATGCCAAGAGGAAAGAGGTAGGAAAGTTAAAGTTAACCCAACATCATTATAACCGTTTTATTCTACAATCTTATACATTCTTTCTTAACGTTCTAATTCCACTACCACTCTAAGACATGTTTCTTTCTCTTTCTCAGCAAAGAAATGCTCATGGTGCTTTGAGGTCTTCCAGGTAATTGAATAGATTCTTTTTATTGAGAGTAATCTGTAAACTAGTAGAAGGAACAGAAGACTTCAAGAAGTTGTGCTGTGTACTAAAATGTAATTTTTAGTTTTTAAACTTCTGAATAAAATTTTAGCCTATTGAAGTAACTCGCCGCTTAAGATATTCACCGAAGAGAGATGAATATGAGTGAAAGAATCCTGGAAAGCTGAGAATATGTTGAATCGTAATTTATAGCTCTAGAGGATTTTCAAGTAATATTTCTTGCTAGTGAATATTGACAAGAGGCGAAAGTTTTACAGCGAGCAACCAGAACTGGCTCGAACTTAATTGACTCACTGCACATTCTAGCAACTAGTATTTATGGAGGGCACCTTCTTGTACCCTGCGTGATCAAAGGTGATGACAGATATCCAAGGTTAGATAAATTCCTTGGTCTGTCCTCCAAATTACCTATGAATGTTAGCATATTGAAGAATAGTATGATTTAGGTCAGTGAAAATTCCTCTGTCGAAATTTCAGTCTATTATCGAGTGATAAGATTCACTCTCATGAGAATTCGAATATTACCCCTTCTGACTTCTTTTCAGTTTGAAATCTTTGCAGTTTCAATTAGGAATTTTAAAATTTATAATCATTTTCTAAGTTGATTTTCAATCTTCGCTTCTTTCCAAAATTATATTCAATTTAACATCACCCTCTCTATTTCCTTCTCCACTCTCACCTTATACAAGCTTTTAATCCTACCGACTCATGTCTTAATAAAATTGCTTTCCTAAGACGATTACATTGTCACACTTACGTAAACGTAAAAAGACTTAGTTGGCAATAATATAAGTGACAGATAGCTATAAAAAAGGCACTGTCAATTATTTACGAATAATTTCTTTAGATAATACATCGACTATTGTTCGTCTCATGTAGCAACAATTGCAAGTAAAAATGTTGCACTAAAATAAGTAATCAAGCTCTTTTAATATTTCTATCATTAATACATAGGGCGAGGGAGAAATCGAAAGAATGTAAATAAATAAAGAGAACATGCTAACAACGTGTAAAAATGTGTTACAAGCCTTCTCTCCAATCCCGAAAAGGAAAGTTAGTGCTTCCTTTATTCTCAAATCCTGCACGTCATATTGCAATAGGCTGTTTTAACCGATAAGTCAGGAAAGCATGCTCTCTTCGCGGTGTCTATTCGAAAATGGTACAGACAAAACTTTACTAACCGGTTGTTAGGGGTCACATGACCGGGCAAGCGCCGTAGATGCTAAGAGGAAAGAGGTAGGAAAGTTAAAGTTAACACAACATTATTATAACTGTTTTATTCTACAATCTTATACATTCTTTCCTAATGTCCTAATTCCACTACCACTCTAAGACAGGTTTCTTTCTCTTTCTCAGCAAAGAAATGCTCATGGTGCTTTGAGGTATTCCGGGTAATTGAATATCAGGTCATCGCATAAGTTCTGTCCGAATTTTAACTTTTTGTTAAAATGAACGAAATTTAAAGAGTATTTTATAATGTCTAATGAAGCTGAACATTATTTTTATGTTTAGATGCATTTAAACTGATCAAATTTTATTTCAGAGAACAATAAAATTAAATTTTGTTTGATTAAAACCCTGCTAACATGGAAGTACCCAAGAATCATTTGAGGCACATAATGCTTTATGAGTTCAAGAAAGGAGACTCAGCAGCCGAAGCGGCTAGAAACATTCACTCAGTTTATGGAGAGGAATGTGTGAAGGAAAGAACTTGAAGATGGTTTGCAGCCTTTAAAGAAAATCCTGCTTTATCAGTTGAGGAATTGGCAGTGGTTCTCAGTTCAAACCATACAACTGTTTATCGCGTCATCTTCAACAACTTGGAAAAGTTCCTAAACTTGGAAAATGGGTGCCTCATGAATTGTCTGAAAGCAACCTCAAATCCCGAGTTGACATCTGCTCTTCTCTCCATTCTCGCCAACTTGTTTCACCTTTTTTGGATAGACTTGTGACTGGCGACGAAAAATGGATCTTTTATCGAAATGTTAGGCATCATAGACAGTGGCTTGGTAAAGGGGAAGGACCCCAGCCACAGCCGAGAAGGGAACTTCATGGGAAAAATGTTCTTCTTTCAATCTGGTGGGATCGCCAAGGAATAATCCACTTTGAATTCTTACCACCTAATGCAACAATTAATGCTCAAATATACTGTCAGCAATTAGAGCGTTTGAACAAAGCTTTGAGGAAAAAAGACCTGCTCTAGTGAATCGAAAAGGGGTGATGTTTCATCAGGACAATACGCGACCACACACAGCAAGAATCACGTCACAAAAGATCGAAGAACTTGGTTGGGAGAAAATTCCTCATCCACACTATTCTCCCGATCTTGCTCCTTCAGACTACCATTTGTTTCGTAGCTTACAGAATCATTTGGAAGAAACAGCTTTTGTAACAAAGGAAGAGGTTAAAACTGACATTTGTGAGTTCTTCGAATCAAAGCCAAAAGAATTTTACAGTAATGGAATTAGTAATCTTGTTAATAGATGGAAGAAGTCATAATCAGGGAAAATACATTGTTGATTGAATCTGCAATTAAATGTAACATTTGGTCACTTGTTTTCTTTATTCAAAATTCGGACAGAACTTATGGGATGACCTGATAGATTCCTTTTATTGAGAGTAATCTGTAAATTAGTAGAAGAAACAGATGACTTCCAAGCCTTGTAATGTAAATAAATAAGAAATACACAGAGTCCTGATAGAATGTTTGCCTATCGCCTGTCTCTATGCCTACTTAGTTTTTGACCAAGAGTAGGGGCATTATTACCTTGCTTGGGGTCAAATGACTAAAAGGAAAAGAAAAATATTTTGCATCTGTCTTCATTCCGGACAATTTTTCGTTTATTTTTACCTTCTAATAGGAAGGAATAATTGTTCTAAAAATATTTTGCATCTCAGAAGAGCTCCTAGTACAGGAAAGATGCAATTGTACCATATAAACACACATTGACTTATCTTTGCTTTTTACTATTGCAACGTTTCGGCTGATGTCTTTTGGTAGTCTTCAGTGAATTTCAAATGAAACCCTTTATTCAATTTACAAGGGGTAGATTGTTCTCTTGTTTTGGTTAATTGTTCAGTCCTGTTTCCACTGAATCTGAATATATCTGTACTATCTGGCCCAGTGATTCAACTCACAATCATTATGTCACCAAATTCAATATAAATAAAAATTAAAAAAATTTGTAAGCCATTGATCTGTGGAACTGAAGCTAGAACTTGGAGTTAATATTTTTGCCGCCTTGGTGCCAACTTTGGTTCTCTCTGCCACCACTTCACATCTTTACTTTTGACTTTGTTTACCTCAATCTTTTTCGTGCCATGCCGCTGTCGTACTAATTCCTGGCTCCAATATGGCATTTATATCTATGCTAAACCTACCGAAGATTATATAGCTTTATAACCCGATTTTTTTTAGTCATCCAATCTTTTCTTTTTTTTTTTTTTAACTTCACTCCGTAGGGGTTATGGAGTACCCTTTTCATCACCACTATACATACTCAGTGATGTCTTGTTATTAATTTCAGCCTTTCAATGTTCCTACAATATTACTTTTAGATAGGGGAAAAAAAAAAAAAAAAAAAGCATAGACGCCAAACTTGACGAAAATAAAATTTTATCATCTAAATGTTTGTTATTATTAAGAGGAAAGACCGAAGAATTTTTTATTTTTAAAAATTTTTCCTTCTTTTCAGAACATTCTAAATTTTGATAAAAAAAAAAAAAAAAAAAAAACACCAAACCTCCAAACCTTGTTTCTCTTTGTATCACCAGAACTAGTAAAATAAATTTTTAGCACGTTTTTTATGAGTTTGTAAAATCTTGCAAAAATAAAAATTGTGGGATGTTAATGAAACTTTCAGAAACTATTCAGATTATGGAAATTATTTTAAATATTTTTTTTTTTAAAGTTATGAGAGAATTTTTTTTTTTTTTTATATTTATTACCCCCCCACCCATAATTAATTTTATGAAAACTGAGAACTTCTGGTATATCCCCACTGTTGTAGATTTCATTTATTATTTCTGTGATCTTGTCTATGCCAAAATCATCTAAGACTGTCAGCATTTCTGGCCCTGCTGCCTTGTTTCTGCTCAGTGCAGCTTCTACTAGAAATTCAGTCATGTTCGGTTTAGTGATTATATTAGTTAAAAGCACAAGGCTTTGAGGAAAGCAAATCATGTATTTTTTTTTCAATTGGAAAACCATGAAAATCAGCTCTGAATTGTAACATACAAAACTCAATAAAACAAAGATATTTAATTTCAAATGCTTTTAGTTGTTTTTATGAATATGGACAATATTTTCTAAGAGCAAAATATTTTTTCGCTAAAAAATTAATTTTTAATACTGTGACGTCACCCCCTATTTCTGCTCCTGTGACGATCTAACACTTGGCTGTTCCCCCTATTTCTGCTCCTGTGACGATCTAACACTTGGCTGTTTCGGATGGAAATCTGGTTAGATTCGATATCAGCTTTGTCGTTCCCAGCTCGCTTCCAACGTCTGGTTACCAAAGTAAC